CAACTTTGCGGTACATCATTGGAAAGAGCATGAAATACTGCATAATTTTGGCGAATTTTGGTAACCGTTTTATGTACCGTTGCCGTGGTTTTGAAAGTTTGTCTTATACGCCCGTATTCTAAAAGCTCACTCACACTCAATGAGTGGAAGTTCACGGTGTGAGCTTCTCTCGAGTGTCATTGCTGTTTTTGAATAGCTGGAGGGTTAGTGTCGTACCGTTACTATGTGACTATACTCGCATTCCCGGCAGCTATTGAAAAACAGCGCTGACACTCAAGAGAAGCTCAGATTGAACCTCCACTCATGCATTGAATATGAGTGAGCTTTTAGAATACGGGTGTTAGGCCACTACAAGTTAATCTTTAGTTTCTGGTCCGGCCTTACCTTCGTTTACGACGCGGGCGGGCGGGTGGTTAGGACTATAGGATATAATATAATTGTGGCTTTGCCCACATTTTTGTGGTCCTTCTTGTCCCTTTTCATGCTAATTGTATCAAAATGTTATGAAATTTTACATAAATTGCATTTATATTATTTATAAATCGACATGTATGACACATTACAAAGGATTTTACATATGAAAATGATCTATCAGATATTTCTAGTTTTTTTCCTCGTAATATCGATAAGGCAGCGGTTTTTACCATTCAATACTACATTTTGCTAGGTCTTTTTAATGTAAATTGAATATTTATCATTTTATAAGTTAAATCCTTCGCGAAAATTTTCAAGAACTAGAAATTAATTGTAAATAACAAAATAGTCCTGAAATAATACTTTACGGAGAAAGGACGCGGGCGGCGGACCAGAAACTAAAGATTAACTTGTAGTGGCCTTAGTGCAGGTTTCTGTAATTATGTCAGTAGGTTACTAGATTTTATATATAAAGAGTTCATTATTATAATTTTTGTATGATGTTAATCTGATAATCTTACCGTTATTTGTAAATTTGACATTGTATGAGGAGTGGAGTTCTATGGAACTTTTTTAGGTGGGACTTATACCTCGCACCTGCGAACAAGTTGGGTATGGGAGACCGATCTTTGACAAGTGTTATAATATTAAGTTCACAATGTCCACGATGCATGCATGCATACAGTGGTTTGAAAATTAAAATTATATAAAAAATATAAATGTATTTGGCAATGGTTTCAGGATATTTTAAGGAAATTTAATATATCGATTTCATAAATGATTATATAATTGTAAAACACCAGTCACCAAAACTGAATCGAAAATGCATGGCTATATTTGGGAGCAATCCCAGTAAAACGATCTATTCTGTAACGAGTCCTCCGGTGACTCGAATCATAACTCGATGTGAATCCTCGTGGTTACTAACTCAAAATAGTCGCTATTAGCACTGGCGGCTAAACATGTACAATCAATTAGTCAATGTCAATGGCACATTGTCCTTGACAACGTTACTAAAAGTATATACGAAAAACGTCTATACGTGGCCTATAGATGCTTTGTACAATTGAGCATAGAAACCTGTAATTGTCCTTGACGACGTAAATTACAAAATGGGCAGTTACGACGGTTTGAAAACGAGTATAATATAGGCTATTGTATTGCTGTCTTTTCTGACAGTTCTTAACCTTTAAAGTAAATTAGAAAATGATGTAATTATACTCGCTTGCGATAGTAAAATATATTCGTCGTTTTGCAGTGGCGTAACTCCTATGAGCTCTACCCGGTAAGAGCCGGGGGCACCCAGGCAATCTGGCTTCCAGGGGGGGGGAGCACCGTGAACTTAGTTGTCCGGCGGCCTTGTTTATATAATTTCCGTTTCGTAAAGCTATTAAGAATTTTTGCCGTTTTCAGATTTTCTGTATCACAGTTGGTATATAACGTGACTCCAGAAGTTGAAGCGAAACTAAGACAAAGTACAAATGCACAATGCAAAAATAGAATGTCTTCGGAACCAGTGGCAGTCAAGAAGTATACGACGTGTTTCGACAAACAGAACTGACAAACAACCGATCTTGTGTTCATGTGATTTCTTGAGAATGGCTTCCACTTGCTAGGATATTTAGAAGGAAATTGTAAGGGACCGGTCATAAAGCCCTTGCATAAAAATTGATGACCCACCCCTGCGTTGAAAATTTGCTTCAAGACAAACTCTTTACTTCCTTCGTGTTCTTTCTCGTTCCACTATAGTATGTACTACATGACATAGCCAACAAGTAGTACACACTTTAGTGGTGAAAATTCATGGATAACCATTCATAACTGCTGTGCGGCAGCGAGCGAGCATGAAGCGAGCGAAGCAGCATTCTAATATATGCAGAGAGGTGGTTTTGAAGTAATGTGGGGCCACTGTAATTGGCGTAGCTGTTGTGGTTTCCTAGCCAGTGAATGTATAAGTATTATGGCAAAGTAAATAAATTTTATTTAGCGCATTGCATTGTCGTCGCGTGCGCTCTTGCTATGCGCAGAACATAAAATATAAGCGACGTGCGACATACAGTATTTGAGGCGTATTTGAAAGATATCGTTATGTATCGTTTTGCTTGCTTCGACTTGTAAATTATTTTGACTCAGGCACTCAGCGTAAGGTTTATTAAAGTTTTAGGCCCTGCAAAAGCCATAAAATAACGTGACTGCACTTTGTGCCTTGTAATTCACTCAATGGACTTCAGCCACTGAACACTGTTAGTTCTATATTATTATAAAGTTTTGGTTTCTTAGTTTAATTTAATTACTGTGTATATAATGTGGTAAATGCGCCTAGCAGTATTAGACTTAATATGAAATCCAATAGCAAAAACTTGTGTTATATAATTTACCTGTACGTCTTAAGAATACTTAAGGAGCGCGTAATTCAACAGATTCCACAGTTCCACTTGCATGGTCTTGTAAATATTATATACTATTGCTTATGCTTTAGTGAATATTACTTCCATAAACATTAACACGCAAGTATTGAATGAGACGCACATGTTTAATTTTTCAGTTTTTTAGTTATTATTATAATTATTTTTTTATAATAAAAATGGCGCTTGCCATTTCATTTGCCTGCGTGGCGAGATCATGGCGCTTGCCATGATCTCAATAGAGGCAGACGAAGCAAGAAAGCTTTCCGTTGACAAAATGATCGATGAGTTTGCTGAAAAAAAGACCAGGTGCGAGAAATTTAAGATGTACTGTAATGTTACATTTAATTGAGGATGTATGTGCATAATTACAGTGGCACACACTTCACTCTTTATGTCAAAAACAATTTCCGCATAGTGCTATTTTATAGTTGTTTTCTTTATATTTTGCCATATATTTATATTTCCAGTTTAAAAAATCCATTAAAATTGGCTTCTAAACGACTAGAAAAATGTTCATGTTGTCAGAGCTCCATCTTCAAAATATCTATGATCCCCCCCCCCTTGGGGGCACCCAATCCCGGTAGTACCAGGGGCAGCCTGGTCCAAACTTACGCCACTGTCGTTTTGTTCTGTTTATAGTTTTAAGTCGTCGCATAATTGAGCGCTGTATGCACCGCACCGCACTCCACAGGCTCTTATATTACAGTCTATGCATGTATTAGTGTTCAGTTCCGTGCTAGTATATATAGCCACACTGTACGTGTCAAACATTTTTATATATTATATTTTCGAGGAGTTTGAAACATATTTTGTACCGTATATTGAAATTTGCATCTTGTAATTGGGAGTTAAATTCGTTTGAAAACTCTGCAAAGATTACACACATGATCTTCCTAGTGTTTTACTTTAGACTGAGATGCCTGCTGTTTTCTATTTATCATTGTAGTTTACGGCCGAATTTGAAGCAGTAAAAGGTAATAATGCAATGAATTGCTTCATTCAGTTATATAAAGTGCGCACAAGATTAAAACAAGAACCCTGCTGGCTTATGCATGTATTTGTCATTGACATAGCATGGCTGCGTTACAGCCCGCTAGTGCATGTTATAACTGTTATAATTTATAGTTTCCTGCCCGGAAATGCCTAAAATGTCAAAGCGAATATAAGCATGTATACATATGAAACGTATAAATACACAATTTTTGACGTTGTCAAAGATTGTATAGTAATGCGTTGACGCGTTTGCTACTGCAGTTTACTACATACGAAGCGTGTTTTTTAAAGAACGAGGCAACACTATATAATAATGTATAATTAGCCATAACGCTTTTGTCGTTGGTCTCATATATGGTTGGTGTTGTAGGTTTTATTGATATATAGCTACGTGGTTTTGAAAGAACGAGGCAACACTATATATGCACAATTAGCCATAACGCTTTTGTCGTTGGTCTGGTAGGCTTTATTGATATATACGTGGTTTTGAAAGAACGAGGCAACACTATATATATACGCACAATTAGCCATAACGCTTTTGTCGTTGGTCTGGTAGGTTTTATTGATATATACCTGGCGGAAAGAACGAGGCAACACTATATATGCACAAGTAGGTTAAAAATTAACACTCCCCCCCCCCCATTAAACCATCATCACCATCTTACACCATATTCACCACCTGACAACAGCTGTTCAGCTGAACCATCCTACACCATCCGACACCACACTACAAGCGTCTGACAAACAAAGCATCTGACACCATCTTACACCATCTTCACCACCTGACAACCGATGGCTATATTGGACATATATGGTAATTCTAACGGAAAGCAGCCGTAGGAATATTGTCCGTAGGTATATAAAGTCACCTAAATATTTCTATTGAAAAATTTTCCAGATTCACCTTGTCTGATCCAACAAGTTTGACATTCAACTTTTCCAAAAGTTTAGCCGTCTCCTCCTTCTTGAAATTCATGATAGCATCAAAAACCTTTGAGAAAAATTATAGGTCACATGCATGCACGCACTAATCCTTTCGGCCGAAAATGCAATTCTGTTCCTAACATGTATTCATTATCTTGTCATAACTTAAATCAATTAAATACCAATACAGTAGATTGTTGTTGGCTGGCAATGGTCCAGAAACATAATATCTTATTCTTAGATATACAAAGCTTTGTTTTGAATTTAATTTCTGCATACAATTTAATTCAATTTATTTCAATAAGTTTTATCTTGTGATATGTACTATTATGCATTAGAAATTTTTCCCAGAACAATTTTGCATTTCTTAATATCGGCTGGTATCCAAACTGCTATCAAAATTCTCAAAACAAGAAACCTGCTTTCAGTCCTTGATTTAGTTTCCAATTGATTTCAAAGCTAAATGTACGAAGTTTCCCATTACCTAATGACAGGCCTTAAAATATGGGTCGGTCACGGACATTGTCCGACCCATTTGTGAAATTGTCCGACGTAGAGAGGAAACCACCGTGTCCGACCTAAGTGAAAGTGAGGTTTATTGTTTGTCGGACCCGAGAATATTGCAATTGTATGACGTAAATCAAAATGTTGCCGGCGGCGTGAATTAGTGGAAAACAAGCTTAAGTGCCGACTGTCAACATTAGTTAAGTTAATTTTGGTTTGGAAATAAGTATGAATGAAAGTATCATACATACTTACTGTATGACCAACCCAAATTCAAAGTCATCAGACCTTTTGTCAAAGACCCTCAAAATGATATGTTATAGCGATTGACCGATTGTGCAACAATCGGAAATTACCGATTATTCATGCCACAATCTGCCAGATATAGAGATACCGATTTTATAATGAAGTCAGAATATCAGTCGAAGGTAATATCATTCATGTTGATTTTTAACGATAATTTCCAAATTTAACATGTTACTTCAACCAATGATCGTTAAAACCGTTAGTAAATGGCAAGCTTCACGCATGAATTTAACATATTGCGTTAAAACGAAACGTGTATCAACGTGCAATGCATATAATTTTTAAAGGGGATATTTTCTCAACAAACGGTTTTAGACAATCGGAAATATATGTAGATAATTCTACCGATTCCGATTGTCTACCGATTAGGCAAAAATCAGTCCGATGCCGACACCGATTATCAATCAGTAACATTTTAAGGCCTGAACGATAGAGTTCAATGTTAACTACAATGTCAGAACAATTAACTGATTTTTGTAATTGTTTAAAATTAAATAAACATGTTGAAAAACCTCTTGGGTTTCCAAATGGGATATCAAAGTTTCGATATCTAGTATCCAAAATGTCAAACTGGTCAGGATACTAGGACACTGCAAATCTTGAAACACTAGAATAAAGTGTAGTAAAAACCTTGAAGATTGGATCCAAGATGAATTGGTTAAATCCTCGGACATAACCATCAGAGTACGTTTTAGCCCACTTCTTTTCTTTGGCATTGTAGAACTGATCTCCCCACAAGCGCGTCATCAACTTCGCTGGCGTGATCTTGAACTTTGCAGCGTAGAATTCAGCAAACTGTTTCATGGTGAAAGCCCAGCCATGAAGCCCTGATCCAAAACCAACAGTACCTTTGGTAGGATCAACCTTGGAATGAAAAAAAGACATAAAGTACTTATAGCCTGTTTCATCCGATGAAGGAATAGCGAGCGTGCATGGCATTTTGTAGGTGAGAAAAACCATACTACTTGCTCTATATTAAGTCTGAAAAAATTACGATTGTATGTTTTTCCAAATTGCACGAGAAACCATACTATTACTTGTTCAATATACATGAAAATACTTGTCAATATACATGAAAAATTACTTGCATATATACATGAAATATTGTACTTGTCAATACACATGAAACAATTATGCAGTCACATGCGTGCGTAGGTCACAATTATGAGTAATAAGTATTGTAAATAATGTACCTGTAAATAGTCTACCAAATTTCTCATTAGAGGTAGTCAACCAACTTTCTCATTTTAATACTCACTAATATGTTACTATTTTAATACTCCATATCTTTTAAAACTTAAATATCACTTTCTTGTACATGTAAAAAAAATGGCACAAAAAAATTTGGCACACGCCCCTCGTGGAAATCAGTTTCGTGTATAAATAAAAATTTCTATCTTCTATCTATCCTGAGTTACGCTGCTTTCTCCTAGCTCCAGCTAGAAAGTCAGAATAATAACAAATGTGACAATTTCAAAGAATTAGCGTTGGTCACAAATAATGGCAACACATTGAATTTGTTGAAAGTACATATAATCTGAAGCCACATCTGTTGTGTCAAACCATCTCGCCAATTTCTGAAACTTGGTCAACTTGTAAATTTTCTTGAAATTGGAAGGAAATTTAAATTTGGAAGTAAAATCTGTATACCTGGATATCTCCCATAGGTCCATCTTCAGTACTGTACGTAGCAATGATTACATTCACACTCTCAACAATACGCTGGAAGGTCTGGTACAGATCTTCTTGTTCTAATTGCAACTCCAACAAGGCACGGTCCATTTTGTTCATGAAAAGAACTGGTTTGATCCTCTCAGCAATGGCCTGACGTAACACTGTCTCTGTCTGCACACACACACCTAAATTTATATCCAATGAATAGATGGAATATACTAACTCTTCTAAAGAAGCTAGACATTTGTTCAAATTAACGACAACTCTCATTGCCTTTCCAAATTAGAAAATCACAAGCACATTGGGTCATTCCAAAAAACAACAATAGCTTCCCCATGGAGGAAACTAGAAGTTAACCTCCCAACATCCTAATACACTTACTATCACCAGAAACATATTTTCCCCCCTTCCCCCCCAGACTGCAGAAAATTCCTTCGTGGGGGGGGGGGGGGAGGGTTGGAGAGTTGGGCTATGGAAATAATGTCACTCTGGCTCCCTAACCTCTGCAGCCACGTTCGTTGACACTTACCACTAACACAATCGACAACATTCATTGGCACTTACCACTAACACAATCGACAACAACTAAAGCACCATCAGTGACACGAAGAGCAGCAGTAACCTCTGACGAGAAATCAACGTGACCTGGTGAGTCAATCAAGTTGATCAAGAAACCATTGCCGTCTTTTTCCTGTTCAATATATTCCATGTTTTTCTCACTCAGTTCATAGTACAAAGAAATAGCCCTGGATATAAAAGAAACACAACATCATACAATGTGCCTTTATAAGAAAAAGATTTTAAAATCTGAGAGAAAATGGAATTATTGATTGATAAATTACCTTCGCCGACATATAAGTCAATGTGATCGGCTGATAACCGATCTGCCTGAAAGTTGCCGATTATATCCTTGTATCAATTAATTTCTGATTATTGGCTCATCGCTAAGCGCTATGAAATTGTCAAGCAAGACGATAGACCAGTGCCTCGCTGCGTGGCTTCCTCTGGTGACTACGAAATGGTCAACGGCCGCAACAAGTTTAATATTTTCAGTTATAAATTCATTTTGGGAGCATAATTTCAGAATAAACCGACATACTTACGTGGACTTAATCGTGATACACCGTTCTTGTTCGTCTTTTCGTGTATCGGTAAAACGATCCTCGCCAGCGTTTTGCAAAGCAATGATGCCAGCTTTACTGACAAGGGAATCAGTCAGGGTTGATTTGCCATGATCAACATGGGCAATAACTGACATGTTCCTGATGTTCGCCTTCTTATCCATGATCCCACGGATCTAACGACAAAAATATGATTGGGTCATTCGGAGTAAATTGGAGTAACATCCGGAGTACATAGGAGCTAATTCCCATACCCTTTTTGGATATTTGGTATTATAAGAAATAACTCCACTAGCCATAGGCGTACGGGGCAGGGGAGGGGCAGTTGCCCCCCAGTCAAAATGAAGTCGGCCAAATTATATTCGGGCAAAAATTAAGGGAAATAAATTTAAAAAGAATACATAGTATTTGAAAATTCCAGAAATATGTAAAAGTAACGTGGAATTTGGACAAATAGGAAATTTTTTTCTTAGACCCCCCCGCCAACAACAATTTTCGAAAGCTTACACGGAAAATTGTTTTCAGTAAGTCGGGCACAATGGGGAAAAGTCGGGTAAATTTCTTTCTGCCCCTTGATTTTTCCCTCCCGTACGCCTATGCCACTAGCTCCCCCTTCGGATGACAGAAATTTCCTCCTTGAGGACAGGGTGTATCTTATCTGGAACAACCCATTATGCCAAAAAATAAATACCTGGGTTCCTATTTCTCGTTGCAAAAATTAGGTTGGGTAGGTCGGATTTTGGGCCATTCACAAAATACGTGACGCGGTTTTTGCCAATTTCTTACCCCTCCCTACCCCCTTGCGACAGTGTGTGACAGCTAACAGCACATCCCATCATAAAATGTGTGACTCTGAGCCAACCCCCCCCCAAAAAAAAAACCTCACAAAACACAAATTTAATATGCAACAACAGATTCAAAACGTTATCTGTAAATCGACACTATTTCAATGCCTTATTAAACCTGAGCCCGTACTAACAGTTTCTCACTCAGGTTCTCGCTGGTTTGTTGAATAAACGGGAGTGCCATATTCCATGGCGATGTCACGAGGAGTATTTTGATAGAAAACATAGATTTGTCATCTAAGGGACACATATTTGCAAGCACGGTCTTGTTTTGTTATAGACAGGGATAAATGTTCCCCTATACGCCTCTCCGTCACGTTACTTGTGATACCCCTCTATATATGGTTAGTCCTAACTCTTTGCAAACTTCCAACATAAAGATTAGGGTCGGTACGTGATTTTACTCATCATTTCAGTCGCCAAAAGCTAGGTAGGGTCGGAAGGGTTTTTTCTTTGGCCTCACGAACATGGAGGCTGTTGCCATAATTACAGAAATATCGACAGAAAAATTTGAAATTATCATTCACTTTATAGCTTATAGCTACTCACAGCGGAGTGAGCGTTATTCCCGCCCTCGACAGAAATTAACACGAAGTAACTTAATAAACGTTTACAGCAATAATAAATCGAATGCTAATTGCAACAAAAAACAACTGCCTAAGGGACGGACCATTAGATATTTGAGGGGGTGGTTGCAGAAATCCCCCAAAAAATTCGAGCAAGCCTTTATCCTTAAAAAAAAACGTGCGAGAAGAAAACTTGAAAAAAAATTTGTGCAAGCATCCATCCCATGAGAGTAAACTCCAATTCCTGGATCCCTATTTGGAACTTCTGAATATAAAATATGAAGAATACATAGAATGCCGTGACAATCCTGATCATCACCCATTATTGCATTATGCAAAGCTTTAAAATTTGTGAAGCCATAGGAGTTTTAAAAATTAAGGCGACGAAACCTGCGAACGGGGATACAGGTTGTATGGCCTGCAGAGGAAATAGGGTATATACTTCGTGTCCTACGGGTCCTAAGGCTATGTCCAACCCCACACATAGATTCATTATAGCTGCAAGACATGAAGTACATACCAGAGGTTGTACGACAACCACCGAGTCTGAGAGCGCGGATAATCTGCCTTGATTTGTTGCATATTAATAATTTATACCACAGAGTAAACACATTTGTTTATTCTGTGGTAATACAGAACCCCGGAACAGGCTTCAGATTTCCGACCAGCTTGCCGCCACTTCTGGCTACCATCTCTCTAGCTACCTGTACCTCATGTCAAAGATGGTATAGATGAATGTGGATAAGTACACTGTGCACGCCTTAAAATTATGACCTGTTAATTCTTAATTATTAAATCAGGACCTGTATTTTTGTTCAAAGCCAATCGTCTAAAGTTTGTATCTCTATGCTACTTTGAAACTTTGCCGGAAACAGTGGCGTAGCCAAGGGGGGGAGGGCGACCGCTTCTGATTCTGTTAAACCTTGTTTATCTGTGAAAACTGTTAGTTTTACGAAGTTTAAGTCTATTGATCGGGATCACTTTAAACGTGACTTGTTTGCCAGGCGACTATGTACCGAAAAACAAGTAAACACCATAGATGAATCGAAATCAGAAGGCTATTTGGTACCCTCGGCCTCGTTCAAAATTTTAAAGTGTGTTGAATCTCAGTAGTTCAGACACAAATTGGCACACAAGCTTATTGTTAATAGAATAACCCATTCACGCATGAAATTTCGCGGTTTGAAACGAAGTCAATTTTTCTTAAAATCCTCATTAAAAATTCATAAACCTGGTTACATCTGATAAAACACTCCTACGCGTGCTTTAAATTCATTAATAATTCATGAGCAATTCAGCCAATGATAATCACCTATTTGATCACAAGATGCCATTTGGATAATCCGGTGAAACTTGATGAAAGTCACTAGTGTTTTCATCAAATATCTTAATTACGCATGCAAAATTACTTGAATAGAATTCCTAATTTCGTTATGCTTGGTTAAGAATTCCATTCAAATCAGCACACGAAAACATTCTGTAATACGTCTCGATCATAGATATCTTATATACACTAGATAGTGCATCTAATTATTCTGAAGTTCAAAAATTGAAGCCGTGATTGCAGTCTCAGGTCGTTCCCATGAAATTAGAAGATTCGTATGTTTTCTATTTCTTAAACAGGGAACTTAAACATTAAGTTAACCCTATTCCAAATTCGTTTTTAAAATATTCAAATGACGAAAATTATTGTTGTTTTTAAGCGTTTATTAGCAAGTGGGAACGACCAACATGGCCGCCATCTATTCAAATGGGGGTAACCGCTGGAATATTGTTGGCTTCAATTTTACTAAAAGAGATGCGCTATCTAGTGTATATAAGATATCTATGGTCTCGATTCATTTGAGAAGCCATATAAACAACTCGAGCTCGTGTCTCACCGGGATATCCAAACACTCGATCGAAAACAATGTAAGAAAACACTCGCGCTTCGCGCTCGTGTTTTCATACATTGTTTTCTCGTGTTTGGATATCCCGGTGAAACACTCGCTCTCGTTGTTCATATATATTTATATGCAGTATTTAAAACACGAGAAAGAGTGTTTTATCATATTTAAAACGCGAGGCGCAGCCGAGCGTTTTAGATATGATAAAAACAATTAAACCTCTAGTTCGAGTGTTTTGAATAGCTTAAAATACGACTACAAAAGAATGCTAATTAGGATGAACAATTATATAATCATACTAATTAGGATGAAGAATTATATAAAGAATACTAATGAAGATGAGTTTTATCAGATATAAGGTCACTCCACGTGACATATTATGGCTGACATGATTTGCTACAAGGTTTATGAATTTTTAATGAGTATTTTAAATTTATTTCAAAAGCTCATTAATAATTCATGAAGCAATTATCCAATCTTGAGTAAGAAATTAGTCACGTGCATACGTCTTTATACCAGCTAAAGAACACTTTAACAAAAGACCATTGTTATGCAAACTATATAAAGATTTTTATATAAAGATTTTTATATAAAGATTTTTAATATATAAAGATTTGACTTATTATGCAAACGTTTTTGAAGCCATTTAAAAAACTCGCAGGTCGTGTTTTATACTTTTATTAGGTCTAAAGCCACTCGCGCTGCGCGCTCGTGGCATTAAACCTAATAAAACACTCCTGCTCGTTTTTTAAATAGTACATATAACACTCGCTCTCGTTGTTCATATATTTTTTCCCATCTACCTGTTCCCTTAATGGTTCAATTGAAATTGAAACACGCAACTCCAAAGACAATCACTGTAATTCATATGGGAAACTAGTATTGGCAGAGTTGTGTTGCGGGAATGATTTAATTCTTTTAAATAGTAGAACGAAGGGTGACCATATCGGTCAATTTACCTGTCAAACACATAATGGGGCTAGTGTGGTTGATTATACTATTGTCTCTTCAGAGGTCATGAGGGAAATTAAATATTTTACTGTATCTGAAATCACACACTTTTCGCATCATTGTTTTCTTTCCTTTGGTTTAGAAACTGAGTCTTATTTACCGCTAAGGACAGAAAAAACTTTACAACTGTCACCACTTCCTATGTCTTTTATATGGAATGATGCTCTAAAAACTACTCTTAGGGAAAATCTCAATAATACCTGCATTTTGAATGAAATGAATACTTTGTTTCAATCTCCACAAGATCAGGATGTGGATTCATTAGTGAATGAGTTTACAAATATTATTATTAAAGTTTCGAGAAAGGTTATAAAAATTAAGAATAGACGATTTTCTAAAAAGAAACAAATTAGAAGTACAATGCAAAATAAAAAGACAAGAGTTGCCATTTGTTAAAAAATGAACTACGAAACTTGGGTAGTTTGCTTTCAAGATTCCCTGATAATATTTTTTTACGACATAAATTTTTCAGTACAAAGAAAGAATACAAACGACTCGTCAAACGATTAAAAAGAAATTTTAAATATGAAATGTTAAGTAAAATTCAATCTATGGAAGAATATAATCCAAAAGAGTTTTGGAAATTGGTAAAATCTATAAAATCAAATAATTCCAATGATATAGAGGATGAGATTTCACCTGTAGTATGGCACGATTATTTTAAAAACTTAAATGAGAAAAAAGTAACTTCCGAAAATTCCAGAAACGAGACTTTTTAGTATGATTTTTTAGTAGAAAAAGTTTTTTAGTATGATTTCGGATACTGAAAAGTTGCATATAAAGTTTTGTAAACGTATTCTGGGAGTCCATTCCAAATCTACCAATTTAGCAGCAATTGCTGAATTAGGAAGATATCCAATGATTATCCAGATTTCCACCTTAGCCATCAAGTATTGGTTAAGAATTAATAGTCCAATAATGTATGAAAACCAGTTTGTGGGTAAAGCAGCACGTGTATGCATTCAATCACGTTGTCCGATCGCAAAATTCAATGATTTTTAATTTTGTTAGAGATGTGTAACTTTAATTCTTTAAAAAATACTACAATTTGGAAGGAAAGTGATATTAATAATGTAGTCAAGATTTAATATCATGTGGAAAGTTCAGATTCAACAACTCAGTAAATTGCAAGTTTTCAAACTTGTAAAACCTAGTATAGAATTTGAAAGCTATTTATCTCAAGTTAAAATTGTGAAACACCGTCAAGCAGTGACTAGGTTTAGGATATCCGCTCATAAGTTACCAATTGAAACTGGACGATATGCGAATATTGAACATGATTTACGTCTATGTCCAATTTGTAACTCAAATGAGATTGGGGACGAATATCACTACTTTTCACATTGTAGTAACAAAAGGTTAGAAAACTGCGAGAAATTTTTTTAAATGAGTTAGTTGATTTTAACTGCAAATTTAGCTCGTTGGGTACAAATAATTTATATTTATACTGTGTGTCAATGAATGACAAAAATATTATTAATTCTACGGTCAAGTACATATATGAAATTATGAATATTTTTTTAGATCTTGCCTGCATCTAGCTCTTCCTTGATTTGTCCTTGTTTAAATTTTGTCATTGTTGTAAATATTATTACTCTGTTCTATTATGTTATTTTTTATATAGCTTATAATAGACATTTGCTGTATTCTATATATATACCAGTATTGGTATTTTTTTGTTTGAATAAAGTTATTATTATTTTTATATTACATAAACTCTTTATATGTTACAAGTGGGTGTTGATGGGGTATATCGTGGGTCAAAATTTCCATCCCGGTAAGCGAGATCTCGCCTCTTTCAAGCGAGATCTCGGCAACCGGGCCAGCCCGCTTATCCATATAAACGCACGATAATTTTTACTATAAAAATAACTGCACAGCGAGATCTCGCTTACCGGGCTGTCTCTCTTAGCGGACCAGCCCGGCTTCCATATAAACAGGCCCTTGTTACCGTCAGAAACATCCTCTGGTAAATCTGCCATATTGTTTATCCCCGCAATGCATCATGGTCTATGCTCACCAAAAAATTTATTTCAAAAACTATAATATGTAAACATTTTGTGCAAATTGCAAAAATGATTTTCAACAAAAATTTTGAAAGAAAAACGTACAAACACAAAAATAAAAAGTTGAAACACAAAAATAAAAAGTTGAAACACAAAAATAAAAAGTTGAAACACAAAAATAAAAAGTTGAAACACAAAAATAAAAAGTTGAAACACAAAAATAAAAAGTTGAAACACAAAAATAAAAAGTTGAAACACAAAAATAAAATTCCAATAAATTGCCCATATAAGTAGGACATATGCAGTGATCTACTCTAACGCGCGTATCAAACATAGACAAGCATTTCGAATTTAGATCATTTTAGGTGTGAATTGATATAAACATAGATATAAAGTCCAAATAAACGCATGGGGGGATATAATATATAATAAAATGCAAATACTGCTATATCAAGAAATGCGATACATCGGGCAAGATCTCCCACAGCGGTCTGTAGTGTTGGCCTTTGCGAGATTCCATATACAACAACAAACGACGTTAGCATCCTTTTCCTGACTCTGAAACTCAAGGAATATGCTGCGCAATCGTTTATCTTTGGTTTAGGCATTATGACGTGCTAATTATACATCCAGTTGAGCGAGAATTATTTAAAACCAGGCAATATACGAAGGACCAAATGCGCAGATAGCGCCTGTGTTTACACGCAGGCTTGGTTGAAGAAATACGCATTTTGCCCCCAGATATTTAGGACGAAACAACAATAATTTATTCAAAATGTTTAGGAACGAACTTTCCCTAAGTCTCATGTTAATAGTATATTTTGTGTTCAATATATAGACCACAGTAAGACTTTTTTTAAATGTTTATTTCATTAACAAACGACGTTTCGGAGATTTTTATTAGAATTAATCGGACACGTGCACGTAATTTATATGCTTACGCAATTTCGCACGCGCGAATAACGGTCGCAATTTAACGTTTATGCATGCGCATGTTAGTTTAAATTCAAAGTGTAATCATACTACCTGAAGATGGAGTAAATCTCCGAAACGTCGTTTGTTAATGAAATAAACATTTAAAAAAAAGTCTTACTGTGGTCTATATATTGAACACAAAATAAACAATAATTTAGTATCGAAATGCTCGTCACAGTGGAGCGATTCTGAATTTGCTCCTACTTTTGAGACTACGCATGCTCCGATTGGGATATGCCGCTTTTTCGTCTGACCGCGCACCTATTTCGCGTCACAACATAGAGATTTATTCTATCGGATTACAAAGTTTCGAAACGATTTTGCCCCTAGCATATTATTTATTTTTCGGCAAATTTTGACGTTTATAGATAAAATTATGAACATATTTTATGTATCCGTTCCTACTTTTTAGAAAATCAATAAAAATAATCTCTAATATACGGGTTTGTTCATGATTTTGGCGATTTGCAACGATTTATCGCTGAAATTCTGGGGACTGGGAACCAGCTCTGGTTTAATAGGCAAATGTCCAAAATTTCTTGCCATGTGAGTTGAAACACAAAAATAAAAAGTTGAAACACAAAAATAAAAAGTTGAAACACAAAAATAAAAAGTTGAAACACAAAAGTAAAAAGTTAAAACACAAAAATAAAAAGTTGAAGCACAAAATATGAAATAAAAAGTTGAAACACTAAAATAAAAATTTGAAACACTAAAATAAAATTATATTTGCTGTGTTGGTGTAATGTACTCCGGTGAATAAGATGCTTGTGTGATGTTACTCTGAGTGTATATATACCCATACCGGGCAGAGTTGCAAAATATGCCTGGCCACGGTGGGATCCCACCGTGGCCAGTAAAATAAAAAAATTGATCTGAGCCTCCTGGGCTTCCATACTCCCCCCCCCCCCTTTTGGCGTAATAAATGTACTTTCCCTTAGTATAATTATATGAC